AGGTTGACTTTTGAAATTCAGCCCTGATTTCCTGGCAGCTGTTGAAGGGCCATAAAACAGGCAGTGGTTTAACACTGGGTGAGCATCAGGATCTTCAAAGCACTTTCTTGTTTGGGAAAGATGTAAGGAACTCCTCAGAATTCCTGCCTGTGTGTGGAGGGGTGGAGGCTTCAGTCCGCTCCAAAGAGGGAATAGGAAGCTCCAGATCTTCATCCAGCGGATATTTTTCCCATGCTCTTTCCTCCCACACAGCAGCTCCCTCCCTTCCCTTCTGGAGCAGCAACAGGCAATAGTTTCAGCACAGACGGTGCTTGGCTTACTGAGGTTTGCTGGGTGCAGCTTACGAATTAACTTTTTTTTTTTTTTTTTAATAAAGGAAATATTTTGAAGAATAGAAACCTTACCAGAGCAGTGTTACTGTGAAAAATCTGTAGTGTGAGAGCAATGACCTCTAGTTCCCTCAGCAAGCTTTACCTGATGAGCAAGGGACTGGGGAGTTAAATGTGCTGCTTGGTTTAGGGGCTATACAGACTACGGCTCATACTTACATGTAACTTAAAAGCAGTATTTAACTCTAGGAAAGACAGCTCTTACTAGACTTCTTAGTCTGCATCTCTTGCTGTCTCCTAGCTGCATTCTCTCCAATGCAAATGATAATAACTTTATTTAATTTCCTGACAATTTCTATCTAGGAGTCTTGGTGCACGTTTTAGACTGATGCTCCGAGCTGCTCAGTCTCCAAGTAAGAAACATCTCACCTGACACAGAGGTAATGATGAGAGCAGGAACTGCCTTAGGATGCACTGGGCCAATGTAACAAAGATGAAGGCCCAGCTTCCTGCTTCTGTGCTTTTATATTAATTCCTGACCGGTACGTTCTCATGCAATCACCTTACTCCAAGAGCCATTTGTAAAAGCAGGGAAGTCAAAAACACAGGATAACCTAAGTGTATAATTTTCCTAATTCTCCTGAGCCACTTTATACTGTTCATTGGCTTCTGATTAAAGTAGTTTTAAAGTGATTTATGACATGGCTATTTAATACTCCTAGAAGAAGAGGTGGGCCTGAAAAAGCATCTTGTTGTTTGAAGATGATGAAATTTGAGCCAAGTGTCTCTTGAAATCAGACTTTTTTTTTTTTTTTTATAACTTGAAACATTTCCTTGAATGCTGCTAACATGGTGAGGTATGGTAGAAATTAGTATCTGAGATACTGGGCTCTAACTCACCTGAACTTTTTTTTTTTAAAAAAAAGGATCAAAATCAGGAGATATATTGCAGAACTTTCTTCTGATGTCTTCCTAGAAGGCACACATTAGCACTGTGTGTCAACGTGGAGTTCCTGATTGGGTTTTGTGCATTGTCTGGAGAAGTAAGCTGAATAATCACTGATACCTAGACAAGAGAAATCACCTCGGTGGTCTGCTTAGTAAAAGCAGGAAGGGAGCATTTTTGCTACTGCTGTTCAGCTGTGCAGGAGAAGTAGCAGCTCTAAGACTGGTCATCATCATGCCTGAGAGCAGAATATGAATGGAAATGACATTATAGTTCCAGGCAGTTGCTTTTAATTCTTTCTGTTTCCAGCCACTGTTGCTTTGGCCCTGTTTGGACTGGTGTTGACTGACCTGCTTTCGGTTTTTTTTTTTTTTTTTGTGTGTGTGTGTGTGTGTTCAGATTCTCATTTCCCAGGAAGAGTTACTGTGCAACATCAGCAGAACTGTCTATATTTGCATAGAACTAAATACAAAAGCAAGCATTGGAGTTAGAGCTGGAGTGTATAGCATAACCTTAATACTCTCCAGAAGATTCCCACTAATGAAATAACAAACCTGAGCCCTTTGGGAACTTGCAACTTGGGCAGACTGCAAGGAATGAAGCAGCTGCACATCACAGCTTTTGGAGATTTAGCGTGAAAGTGAATGGAGCTGTCTGCAATGGCATCTGTGCTTCCTGCCAGGGCTGAAGGTGGCAGGGAGGTTCCTCTGATCAGCAAGGAGCTGATGAATACTCTGCAGAGACGGACGAGCCTGTGTGACACTGGACACGTGCTCTGAGGAGATCATGGGCTTGTACTATATTGCCCCAGAGCATAGATATGGGGATTTAATCAAGCTGAGCTCCATGTGCTGCACCTTCTCTGTGAATTTGTTCAACAAAAAGAAGTCTGAATCCAGATATCATTCCTGACAGCATGAATATCCCTATTTTTCCTCTCATCTTTCCCACTTGTCATCCTGCAGGCATTTCCTTTTGTTCTTTGATTGTAGCTAGTTTGGAGCAGAGAGTTTATCATTAGCTATTTTTATAATAGGGATTCTGTATGCGTTCCACAAGCCCTCACACGCTCAGACTGCTGCATGTTCTCAGCGTGCCGGGAGGCGTTAAGAGACTGGGTAATCCCCGAAGGCTTTCACCACCCGCACGGCACAGCCCTACACTTGATGGACTTGCTTCTTGGTGGACTGGTCCAAAATCAAACACAGTAGGCGTTCTTCATTCCCTTAGCTCCTGGTCGGAGGAACTAGTCCAAAAGCTTACAGTCCTCTCTGCAAAGCAATGTGTGAAATTGCAGCAAGAACTGTGGGCTTTTCGTGGAAGGGCTTGCAGATCTCCAAACTGCAAGAACCCTACGCTGAAAGAGCAGTCAGTTTGGCGTCCAAAGGACAAATGGACAACCTGCTTGTCACACATTCACATGTAGTTGCTTGCTACTTGTTTCCCAATACCTCTGCGCGCAGTTCAGTGGTTGCCACTAGCAAACGATGAAGATTTGTAGAGGCAAAGTTCAACAAGTTGTTTGAAAGCTTGGGTTTTGACAGCAGATGGCTGTAGTGCTTCAGTCACGGGATTCTTCTGTTCTTCTACCTAGTGAACTGTGCTTCCTTACCTATTTTTTCTACTCTTTCCAAGTACTGAAGCTTCTGAAGTATATGCAGATTTTGTAGCAGCCTCAATCAGTTAGTCAGAACTTGTAATCACAATTTAAGAGTTGGTAGTGGCTGAACCATAATATTTTTTACTTGTTCCAAGTATGACAAAGATGCAGTCCAGCTTGTGTCTGTATGAGTGGAGACTGCATGGGAGATTTATGGGTGCCTTGTCTTGTGAATTTGCTAGCTCATGTTTTAAATAGGACCTTGCAAAGAATGTGACAGTGCAAGGATGCTGCCAAGATGGCAAACACCTGTACTGATTCTGCCCCATGTTAGGTAGTGCTTTGCTTTACTGCAATTCCAGCTGTTTGTCTTTAGTGGAAATATGGAGCGGAGTGAGTCAGAACTAAGTTTGCCAGTGCTGAAATCTCCTGAGTCCTTAAAGGCTGTGAATGTTTCCTTTGTGCTTTTATATTGCAGCCAGCATCAGTTTGTCAGAAAGTTCAGTGACTGTCCCAGAATGTAGGGGGTTCTTGCGGTTCATTTAGTTATTTTTTTTTTTGTGTGCAAAACTGAAGAGGGTACTTTAAAAAACTAATGGGTCAAAGATGACACAGGAATTATGCTGTGTAAATTATGAGATTAGAAACCTGTGGAATTTACTACTGAAAGAGACAAGGGAAACAGTGGGGTGCTCGGCTGCTGGCAGAGCAAACGGGCGGCTCCGGGAGCTCTGCGCAGCCCCGTCTGGTGGAGAGCTGTTGGAGGGACTTGCTGTGTTTAAGCCCTTCACCCACTGAGAGTCCTGTGTCAGCTGGGACTAAAATTGGCCAGCAGTTCCTGGGAGGGGGAGGACTGACTGGCAGCTGAGAGCGATCACAAAAGCCCGTCCCCAGGCTAACTGCGACATGAATATGCATGAGTCACAGCATAAATTCATGAGCCTAAAATTATCTACGAGGCTGAATGCCATCTAGCTGGCCCGATACATTAGGGCTTACTCTGGAAGTAGTGGTTTTGGCTGTGGGTGCAGATGGGCTCACAGCTGGACTCCAGGCCAAGAGTATCCTAACAGCTCCAACTGCAGTTTTAGTGATTTGGGCCTTTTGCTTTTTGACAACGGAGATTCTTCCCCACATTTTAGCTTCTAGCTGTTACTGATTTGGTGCTGAAGCTCAAGTTTTCTTCTTCTGGCAGTTCCTTGCCCTTCGTGTTGAGTCCAAGCTGATACTGCTGCCCTCTCCCCTCCGGCATTGTTCCCAGGCTGTCATGTCAGGCACAAAACAAATACTCAGTGGCTCAGAGCTCCTTGCATCCAGGAGAAATTGCATTTTCACACTGGCTCAGAACCTCCTCTGCTGAGCCAAAGCAAAATTAACACTGAAACTAATCCCTTTGCCCTTACCACACACGCCCCCTTTCATGGGGCAGCCAGAAGGACTGAAGAGAATTAACCTTTTCTGTAAATTTCTGAGATAAGAAATACCCTGCTTTTTAACTTTCTCTTCTTTCCTTTTTTCCAGTACCTGCATCAAGGAAAACAGTTTTTCCCTGGGTGCCAGAAAGCGCCTTCTTCCTCTTTTCACTGCTAATGAGTTTGAGAAGGATTTTTGTATCTGTACCTAAACAGTTTTTCCCTGGGTGCCAGAAAGCACCTTCTTCCTCTTTTCACTAATGAGTTTGCCTGGGACTGCCATATAGCTTGGACAGCCTGTTAGCCAGCCCAAGTAACTTGTAGATCTTGTTGAGTAACTGCTGCTCACTCTCAAGGGTAGCCCAGAGTAGCTGTTCTCGCTCCTAGGGTCAGGAGTTCCAGGGCTCTGTCCCTTCCTGTGATGCAGACCACACTACCCTCCCAGCTGTGGGAATATGCTGCTGAGTGAAACTAGAAACAAACATATAGAAAATAAGAGGGCAGCCAATAATGCTGAAGTGACAAAAGAGAGAGAGCATTAAAGTTTTGGTCCCTGTGGCTCTTCTCTTTCTGGTTTCTGAATTCCATTGTGCTGATGCAGCCTCGTGCACTGCTAACTCCTCAGGCAGAACCCAGCACGATCCTTCTCCCAGTTTAGGGACATCTTGCTCTAGGAACGTTGCTTTTCTCTCATTTGCACCTTTTCAATACAGGCTCCTGGGGTGTCCAGCTGGAAAAGGGAGGTATGGTGGTGGTGCTGAGGAGCCTGCTGTGGCTGGGATTGACCTTCTACCATGTCCCAATGACCAAGCAATATGGCTACGTCTACTTTGGCACCGGTGAGAAGAACTTAGATCTGCCCTTCATGCTGTGACCCTGCTGCCTGGGCTGACAACTCGAGAGTGTTTAGATGTTATCCCTTGAAATGTGTTTATTGCTTATTGTATTAAATATATGAAACCTCTGCACTTTGGACAGGATTTTTTTTTTGTCTGGACTCTGGCCCTGATTGTTTCCTAGGACTTTGGTGTGTGCAATCCTCCCTCAGCTCCACAGTGAATTCCCTGTAACGTGTCACTGAGATCCTTTAGATAGCAATGACATTTCTTCCAGGAAGGGCAGAGCCTTAGGTCAGAGATCAAACCTAGGTCATGTGTCTGAAAGCACAGAGCCTATGCTTACAGAAAAACTCATCTGGAGGCAGCACAAATGAGTGCTGGCTGTCACCCGTGAATGACAAACTATGTGAGTTTCTGCCTTGGAGTCAGAGGAGAAGGCTGATACATGCTATTGGGAACTCTGTACTAAGCCCTGAACTCCGCAAATACATGCTGAAGAGGGATGGGTATCTTGTTTTTCAGATACTAGCGTTCACCAAAATTAGGTTTTCTTCCAGCTCCTGGCAGAAAAGGGTATTGTTGAAAAAATATATATATATAACTGCAGCTATCACCTGGTGGTTTGCAAAACCTGCTCAGATTTGTCTCAAGGCAATCGTTACCCAGTGGTAATGGACTTTACTAATGGACTTTTCCATTAGTAAGAGTCATTGAGCAGGACTACTGGAACTAAAAGAAGTGCAGGAGAAGAAAGAATGATCTTTTGCATTCTGAAGGAATGTAGGTTTCAAAGCTTCATAAAATAGAGCGGGTCAGCCAGAGATTTTATCTTAGTATAATTAATGAAGTGTTGGCTCTGTCTCCCAAAGCCAAAAGATCTTGGCCAGCTCAAGGGGCTGAATCTAGGACTTCCACTTCACAAAGTATGACTAAAAAGAGCCATTATAATCTAATTTGATTTCCAGAGTAATATTCATGGGCTTATCCTCATCCTTTGTTCCTGTCCATGCCGATAGGTATTAACAGATGATTCTGATGAAAGCAATACAAGGCTCAGTGGAATAGCAGTAAATTAAAAAAAAAGCTGTGTTTTCTAATCCCCATCTACATATCAAAGAAATTGAGCCAAAGCAGTAACGTCCTGGATAAATTTAATGAGACTTTCATGCCAGGTCCGTATCTAGAATTTCCCAAGTAGAAGTTGTCAGGAGGCAGAGGACACCTGGATGTGTTGTACAGAGGGAGAAATACAGTTACTCTTTAGTTATACAACAGAAAATGGTGCACATCTGGCAGCCCCAAACTATACTAGCAGCTATATCACTGATACAGAGACTTGTGGCAAATGTGTTTGCAAAAAGGAAAAACAAGCTGAATCATTAAAGATGTCAACGTTCTGTATTTGTTCGATCTGGGAGCGAAGCACAGGCCACGGATCCTTGAGAGGACGTGTAAGATGCACACATGCTGCCAAACGCCCGCCAGCCATTACCACACGTGTTCTGCTTCACATTATGGATAGCACAGATTATAAAAATACTTCACTTCAGTAGTCATTAACATAATTTGCATCACTGCCAAAGAAGCACTGAGCTGTGTGAGGCTTTTTCTTCTCTCAGTGTCACAAGTACAAAAGCCCCAAAGAGGCAAATCTGAGTTGAAACACATATAAATGGAGAGTATTTACTGCTAGAGAAGGAAGGAAACAACCTTATCCAAACCCACTACTGGACTGCAATGAAACACAAATCATCAGATTCTTTCTGTCTTTGAGGTGAAAGCTTTGTCTACTGCTGCCTCCAAATCCTTCTGCAGATTGAATTTTGCTTTGCTGATTCTTTATTTCTCCCAAACGAGCAGATCACTGCTCATGCACTGGGGATCATACAGGATATTAATGGGAGTTTTGAAACAAGAAAACTGTGGGTACTGACAAACCTGCAAAAAGGGCGGACTAGTTTAAAACAGCTGTGCTCACCGTCTATGCCAGTTCCACTGGGCCTAGTGGTATAAAAAGACAGGCTTCTGTGTGTATTTGACATTATCCTTGAGTATAGGGTGTCCGACCATCATGGGAATTTTGCACCATTTAGGGCCCCTCTTCCAGATGGGCTTTGCAGATCTGACGGACCAGCGGGTCAGGTACCTACCAAAACAGAACACAGACATGTTTCAATTTGAGCTTCAACATCAAGAAGAGGTTTTCATTTAAGCAGAATGGCCACCCTAACCTCCCCACGTCACTTCTTTCTGAAAGGAGGCAATGGCCATGGACAAATCTCTCTTGGCTCAGAAGAGACCACTGGAAAATGTGGTTTTCCTTCTGGGAACTTCTGACCTGCACCTCTTTATTGAATCCAATGGCACCTGCCGTGAGTTCCAGTATCATGAAATAAATCTGGGCCAGTCTTCCGGGCTGCTGGCAAGTTGTCCATCTGTCCATCTGAAACCCTTCATTGCATGCAGCTCCAAATCTGAATCTATCCAACATGCAAATTCTTGAGAAGTGTCATTTCAACAGCTGGCCTGAATAAAAGCCAGTTACAAAGGCTGGGCTCAGTATAAAATAAACTCAGTAATGGCATTCATTTACTTGCACTGGATAAGCAATTTTTTTCTTCTGCATGAGATGGGATTCTGCTCTGGTTATGTATTTTCATACGCCCAAGTTTCCTTTATTACTTCTGTACAACACTCTTCCAGCTTGCTGGTGCAGGAAGGCACAACCTGCATATGTAAAAGGTACTAGAATGGAGTGATCACAACTGCAAATCCTTGTGAAGCGCAATGGCTGGCAAAGAGCCTTTGTTTTTTACCATCTGAAGTTTTGGGCTTGGCTTGGCAAACAGGAGGGGGATCTCAGATCCAGAATCAGTTACTGGAAATCCTACCCGCTGGCTGGGTGGCCTGGAGTTTTGTTAGGCTTTAAATCTTTTGCTACCAATACAGAGAGAATAGTAGTCCTTAGAGAAAGAGGAGTCTTTTCAGACAAAAAAAGAGATCCAAAGTAAAGCCCTCACGTAATCTGCCCAAACAATACTTCAACAAATTAGAATTTGGAACAGACTGATAAACTTTGTCCAGTGATGTTTGCATGCCTCTGTTGAGTAATCCCATAGTCTTAATGTAACCTCAATCTGTCATCCTCTCCCCACAGAGCTGTTACCTTTTATTTGCATCATGCAAATTTGAGATATGAGGAACTTTGGACAGAGACCACATGTAACGCGCTGTTCCAAGGCACTTGCACGTGCTCGAGACCTGCACGGAAGGCCCGCGATGCCAGGCAGCTACCGCCCACACCGCTGCAGCACCTCTTCCTTGCGCTCTTCTTCCTCAGCGCTCTTGAACAATACGCATTGGAAAACGAACCATGCTTGGGGGTTCCAGCCATTGAAATTAAGCCCCTTTTATTTTGTACACAAGCAGATCGTAGCTTTTGCTTTGGGGAGTTTAAGATAGTCATGACACTTAGAAGCAAGAGCAGGAGAGATAAGGGAGAGAGCATGGAACAAGATCCATCACATGCATGCATTAAATTAGTCCCTTTTGACCTTTATATGTTATGATGTGCATTAGTGGAATCCCTTACATAACAACATTAGGACAGGAAGCAAGAGAGACTCCAGTCTCTAATTTCAAATGCAACGGGAGTTTAGAGATACCAGAAGCAGCTCCCTAGTTTGGAATTTGGCAAGGAACTGAAGTCGGGCAGCTTCCCTTGGGAGATGTGCAGGGGCAGTGGACAGGCGTGTGGGCCCAGGTCCTTCTTGCATTTCCCTTGCAATACGTGGAGGGCTGTAGTACGAGTTTTGCTATCACAAGACTAAAGTCACAGCGAAGGAAGACCAAAATCCTCAAATCCCCAACTTTAAAGCGTCAGTGGCCAAGCGCCGTTCTGTTACGTGACCCAAGGCTTACGGGAAAGTGCGTCCGTGACAATAAATGATCTCACTGGGAGAGAGGTGAATGTGTGAATGGGAGATGCACATCAGCGCTATGTGCGGGTTTAGGCAGCCAGTGGCTTTTTAAGAAACCCCTCTGCTTCTGTGTGGGGGCTGGAAGTGAGCACCCGAATTCTGCATAGGAAGGAGGATTTAGTAATGGCCTGATTTTAAAGCTTTTGTTATTTCTCTTTTGAGCAGGTCTAATCCAGCCCTCTGGTCCAGGCTTTTGGCTTCCTTTGGGGACTGCAGGCTGGGGCTTTTCATTGTTAGCTGAAACAGACATTTGGACGCTTTCCCTTCCTGAAGCACATTTGCTCTTAGCGCTTTTAATACTTGCTTTGTCCCAACCTCAAACTTGTCCTATTTTGTTTGCCTTTTTTTTTTTTTTTCTACCTCGATTCAGCAAAAGCCTGATGCCTGGGAGCAGTCAGTCTACAAAGTTTCTTTTCCTTTTTGACTAACTCCAGTTCCTACTGTTTCACAGAACTTTTTAATTTTTTTTCTTTTCTTCCTGAGAGTAAAAACAACCCACAAAACTCATACAAAAACTTCAAAACATGTTGCCTAATGCAAGATTTTTCTCTAAACTCTGCTGTCCATGTAAGGTTGTGTTTTGCAAATTTGTTACACCCTTTTCTAGCCAAGTCACCCAACCATGCCTTGCATCCAGCCACTTAGTTTGTCTTGCAGCGTTTTTACAGGGCCTGCAAACACACGCTGGCAGATGGTCTGAATTTTCTCAACCAGCTGAGGGCTGTCAGGACAGAGCCTCCACATGGATACCAAAAGCATCCGGTCTGCAGGCTTGAAACCCCTTATCTCAGGGCACAGAGTTTTGTCCCCTGGACAAAGAGGGTCAGAACTGCTCATGTCAGGGAGCAGCAGCTCGCCCCGGGGCCCTGCTTCCCCCTCGACTGCAGCGGGATGCCAGGCAACAACGCAGTTGCATGGCTCACAGGTCTCCTTAGGGCATGTGCAGGTAGTCCCACAATCTCCATCACCCCTGTCTGCGGTGCTGTGAGCAAATCTGCTTCCAATCCTGATGGGAAACGGCAAGCCATGAAAGGTGTGGAAGCAGCTGCAGCTGGGCACCTGCAGTCACTGTCATCGCCTGAAATCTCCATCCTAGTTGGAGGTCAGGTTCCTAAGATTCACCCAGTAAGCAGGAGGGCTCCAAAGCACTGCCCACTGCTTCCCAGCAGCTGGAGACTGTTGCTTAGCACACAGGAAGAGGCACAGGGCTCCCACACAGCGGGTAAGGGAAAAGGCTCCCACACGGGGCAGCTGCACCCTGCATGCAGCGCAGGCTGAAGCCAGGTAGGTGCCGTTCAGGGCTGAACTTCTGAACCCTGGTTGAACTTTTCAATCCAGCTCGTTTGGATTAAGAGCAAAAGGCAGAGGGCTACAGACGGCGCAGGAAGCACTCGATCAAAGCGCTGGCAAGACTGTCTCCTCCCTGCCACATCCCTTCCCAGGACGCCTCTTGGCTTCGCTCACCTGCAGCCTCTCTGCTTCTGAGTTCACACACTGCGCATAGCACAGCTCGCATGCAGGAGAGAGAAACCACATGCTGCTGGAGTGCAATGCCAAGAGCACGGAAACCGGACTCTGCTCCCAGGGACTAAAGGTGTCCACAGTGCCCGAGAACTTTGTAATTCATGAGTTCATGGAACCTGCCTCCTCCCTAGCTCATGGCAACTTCTTCAGTTCAGGAGATGGAGGAGGGAGGAACTTGGCTACTACCCGGGCCAATTTCTGCTCTGCCAGGAAGAAGCTGATAATGAAGCAGCAGCTGAGCAATCGAAATCATGTACTCCATAATTTACAGTAACCTCTTGCTGACAGAGCCTGTGACATCCCTCAGTCCTTTTGATTTAACCAATATTTTAGACCTGCCAGAACAGAACAAGTGCTGTATTTACATTAAAAGAGCCCTCCAGATGCTGGCCTGAACTCAGCGACTATTCCAGAGAATTAGTCCACACTATCCATCCAGCAACATCCACCATGCTGGGAAGAAAACTGTCGAGCTATTCAAGTTTTCAGTCCTGAAAGCTAGGAGAGAAGTTTGATCTGGACAGCTTCCCAAATGGTTCTGGTGTGTGGTAGTCTGCAAGCTCACGACTGCAATCTGAGAACAGGCTCTCACTCTGCATGGTGCTGGTGAAATCCCTGGGAACTTCCTCAGCAGTACAGGCTAGCAAAAATAGTTTGTTGCTGCAGCATTTAACTGGAACATGCCAGGCAGGAGCACAGAGACAAAACTAAGAAATAAGGTCAGGAATTTGTGAAAGGGAAGTGTCAGGCTGAGCATGACAAATTTGCTTGTGGATTTGTCCCTCATACACAGGGAAGACCTAGCCTAGGCCAAACACAAGGAAATGAACCACAGGGAGTAATTTTGCAATGTCAGGGAACAAACCTAAATGTTTTCCATGGCCAAATTCTACAGAGAGATGTTATGGAAGATAGAGGAGAGAAAGGTAGACAAAAGAGCTTACAGATTATATGGGTACTCTGATGGCCAGATTTCTGCAGAAGAACCCATAATCAACAAAGCATTTGTAAAGTAACACAGTCGAAAACAAATCAGGTATTAAGCCAAAAGGCAAAGAAACAAAGCCCAAGAAATGAGATATATTGTGGCAAGTGTCACCTGGGTAATGTCCAGACTACAGTGGGGAGAGAAGACCAGGGGCAGTGGAGTGCTCCCCAGTTTATTTCTGATCACACATCTCCTACCTCCCCAAGACCAGTGCTTGGCTCAGCTGACTATTCACTTTCATATTGTACCTTCTTCTGCAGTTCTCAAACTTATTTTCTGTATTATATTACGTTCTGGGAGATGATTACATACTGTGCTGGAAAGTTGCATGACCAAGAACAAGTCAGGATCTGCAAGCCACCACTTACCAATGCAAAGCAGGGAAATTCTTATCTCCCTGCAGGGAAATCTGAGAAAGTGTCCAAAGTTCATGGAGTGGAGACAATGCAACCACTTCAGAAAGTAGAGCAGGAATTCCACTTTTTGGAAAACATTGAGTAACCACCATAAAAGCAGTTTCTGGAGGGCAGAGCAGGCAAGGGGGTTCTGAGTGATACAGCCACCCTTTATATCATTAGATCAACTGCAAGGCAGTTCAAGGCAACTGAAACTTGTTAAAACAAGACAGTTGGCTGACAGTTGCAGGTGGTGGCCTGCTGCATTTTAATTGCTGACAAGACCTCTGCCAGCCAGGAGCTGACACTGAATCCAGTGTGTCTACACCCAGAAACTGTATGTAGAGCTTAGGTCTCCATTGTAGCTGAGGGGCTGAGCTCTGACTCCTGCCAAAAGCTGCCCTCCCTGCAACAAATCTCCTTCATCCTCAGGTTGCTGTGAATGAAATCTGCCCCTAAGGTTATCTTGGGCTCCCATCTCAGCTCTTGGCACTCTAGTAGCTGAAGGTACAGTCTAATATCAAGAACCAGCAAAAGATCCTTCAGCTCCAGGCAAGGTTTTCTGATGGAAATCTCACAGAAATGTGTGTGGTAACATCCAGAGTAGACTTCTCCAAAGTCCCTCCATTAAATAAGTGAATGAATAAGTTCAGATCAAAGGATTAAACATACTGCTTATCTCCCAGTACAGGGCAGCAATGAGAGGAATTTCAGGGCAGAAGGGATAAGCACACAGAAGGACAGGTAAGACTGAGACATGCTGTCCTGTAGCAGGGCAAAGCTCTTGGTGTCACAGTCTGGCACAGACTACATTCCTTTACAGGGCTCTGCCTATTCTTTTATCTTGCACCAGACCTGCTATTTTAGGACAGTATAGCAGGAGCCACGTGTCTTCTACATGCAAAGCTCTCTTCCATGTGCAGTGCAAGCCCTGAAGGCAAGAGAATGAAAGCAGGTAAGTAAGGGGGAGAGACAGAAGGAGTGGAGCATATGTGAGGGGGAATGGACTATGTTTCCAGTGTACTGGATGCTACTAGCCACCTGGGAGAACTACCCATATCCATTTGTTTCTTCTCTTCTCTTCTCTTCTCTTCTCTTCTCTTCTCTTCTCTTCTCTTCTCTTCTCTTCTCTTCCCTTCCCTTCCCTTCTCTTCTCTTCTCTTCTCTTCTCTTCCCTTCCCTTCCCTTCTCTTCTCTTCTCTTCTCTTCTCTTCCCTTCCCTTCCCTTCTCTTCTCTTCTCTTCTCTTCTCTTCCCTTCCCTTCCCTTCTCTTCTCTTCTCTTCTCTTCTCTTCCCTTCCCTTCCCTTCTCTTCTCTTCTCTTCTCTTCTCTTCCCTTCCCTTCCCTTCTCTTCTCTTCTCTTCTCTTCTCTTCCCTTCCCTTCCCTTCTCTTCTCTTCTCTTCTCTTCTCTTCCCTTCCCTTCCCTTCTCTTCTCTTCTCTTCTCTTCTCTTCCCTTCCCTTCCCTTCTCTTCTCTTCTCTTCTCTTCTCTTCCCTTCCCTTCCCTTCTCTTCTCTTCTCTTCTCTTCTCTTCCCTTCCCTTCCCTTCTCTTCTCTTCTCTTCTCTTCTCTTCCCTTCCCTTCCCTTCTCTTCTCTTCTCTTCTCTTCTCTTCCCTTCCCTTCCCTTCTCTTCTCTTCTCTTCTCTTCTCTTCCCTTCCCTTCCCTTCTCTTCTCTTCTCTTCTCTTCTCTTCCCTTCCCTTCCCTTCTCTTCTCTTCTCTTCTCTTCTCTTCCCTTCCCTTCCCTTCTTGAGTATGTCCAGCATGGGGACACTCTTCAGTCCTGTAAGGGCCACCTTGCCCATCAGGCTGGAGGAAGGAAGCAAGCAGTGAGCAGGGGAGCATTTCTGAAGTGCCCCTGCAGTCCCTCCTGGCTAGAAGACTCACTTGAGCACTTCTATCCCCACCATCAACAAAACTCCCAGTCTGATTTCTTGATCCCATTTCTTGTCTCCATACAGATCCTTATCTTAACTCTGCCCCCATCCCAGCTGCTGTGATCCCTTGCTGGGAGGACAAAATCAAGCGTGGTGTGCAGAGAGACTAGCACTGCACTAGGGAGGGCTTCTGTAGTTCTCTCTGAACTTGCTTTCAGAGGTATAACACATCTATAGCATAGCAGAATGTATGTGGAAGTATCCATCCTCTGTTCCCACACGGAACAATTCACAGGAGTTGGGGCATTAGACCTACAGTGCTGGCGCGATTCCAGCAGGATTCAGGATTTGCCATTTCCTGCCCCAACGTGCTGTGCGGGGCTGCTGTGTGAATGCTGACTAGCTCCTGAGCTCCACCCCACAGCTGCCAGAGAGGCACAGGGGCTGAGGAAGCCCAAAGACTTTGACGATGCAGCAATGAGAAGGTTTTCAGAGCTGAACTACGTGATGGCCACAGAGCCAATTCAAAAACGGAGTCCTCAAATTTGATCCTCCCTCACACCCCGTGAGTAGCCTGCTGGCATCTCGGGGACATACCCAAGAGCTCCCCTCAAAACTCAGTAGAGCCAATTCAAAAACGGAGTCCTCAAGTTTGATCCTCCCTCACACCCCGTGCGTAGCCTGCTGGCATCTCGGGGACATGCCCAAGAGCTCCCCTCAAAACTCAGCTGCGGAGAGTCAGACCTGACAGTCAGGGGCCTCGGGCTGCCCCGAGCCTGGAGGCCTCAGCTCTCCCAGCAACAGGCCCGTGGCCTCTGGTAACCCCTGGGCCGGCTAATGCAGGGTTCATAAACTGCTCTGACATCCCCATGGAAACCGAGCGTGAGCTCATAAACAGGGGATTAGCACCTCCTAACACCGAGCAGGAGCGGGAGGCTTTCAGCGTGCCCACCAAAGGCCAGGGGCCACGCAGCCCCCGGAGGGGGAAGAGCACAGGAAGGGCAGGCTGAGGGCCAATTACTAAGCCCGTGCAGACGGAGAGATGAGGAGGGGGCACACAGTGAGGAAGGCTTGTGACAGGCTGCTCATCCTCCAGCTCTGGGCAGGTGCCCATCCTGGGCACCCTCTGTGCTACCCGCTGTGTGTTGGGGGTTGGACTCCATCACTGGGGCATCCTTCTGTGACAGCCCTGCTAGTGGTGAGGAGGCCAGGGCAGCTGAGGAAGAGTGGGCATAAACCATAAAGAGTGTTTTAGCAGTAATATAAAAAGTGTTTTAGCAGTTTTAGCTCTCTGTGGTGGTTTGAATGAGGTGTGGTCTGTCCTTGTAACACTGATATAAGAACATGGTGACACATAATCCTTCTCCAAAATACTATCCATACTCCTTAGGGGCCCTGAGGCTTGCTCTACCCAGTTACAAGGAACTGCTTTTCCTCTTCCAAGTTAATTACAAGAAAAGAAAGGTTGAAAGACAAGTCTATTCACCTGTTGAGCTTGGGTTTCTTGGGAACATGTCCTTCAGGAAGCCGAGGCCTGTGGTTTGGCAACAAACCTGAGACAGAAAAAGAAAGGTGTGAGAAGTTTTTGCAGGGCCTCCTTGCCTCTGCAGCATCCAGAAATTACTTATCACCTCCCCTCATAAGCCAGGCACCACAGACCTCTGCTGCGACAGCCCAGCAGAAACTCAAGAGCACTAGAAGCTGTACTGCCTCTTTAGTCAGTGGGGAACCCAGGCAGAGGCAAGCAAGGAGGTTCTGCTAGATAACACTGTGTTTGGGAAGTAATACACAGCCAGAGGCACAACCACTTGGACTCACTGAACAGACTTTTAAAGAGCTCAGGGTGTCTAGTCATATCTAGGATGAAAATACAACTACTTAAATTCTTCTTGAACTATTTAAATTCACTTAGTTAGGACTCAACTCAGGTACCAGATCACGATAGGCAATCTGGTATCCTAGATTCTCAGACTAGGTCTGCCTGGGACCCATTCTCAGGATAAAGCAGAGATCTTCATATGGCAGAGGGTAGACAGGCTCATGCTATTAAATGGGGTAGAAACTCAGGCTCGTGCTAAAGCAAGTAATTTCACAAGCTGATACTTAATCATTAATAATTTCAAACTGATCCCCTTCCCACATGTTTGTGCAACAGTAGGCTTCTCTACAGGGATAAATGTCTGCTTCTGAAGCAGGGGACAAGGCACAGGAAGGAGAACAGGTAGTTCCTGCTTGACTTTCCCGTCCCAGCACTTGATGTGTAACGAGTTTGCTGACTGACTGGGCAATGAAAACTCACTAGTGGGGTGGGAGACCCTCTGGACCCCCAGTACGGAGTTTATCTGAGGAAGGGGCGAGTACCTGCTCGGTGAGCCATCTGCACGCAGACTGCAATCTTCTTGTGCTCCTCCAGACAGAGGCCTGTGACCCTCCGTGGCAGCATTCCTCCATCGGAGCGGATGAACTGACTCAACAGCAAGACATCCTGAGGGATCAAGAGAAGGGCAAACCCATCAGTGCTGCAGCTACTTAAACCGCTGTGATTCTTAGGTGTTGTGCTGACCCTCAGGCTGTGTACAGAACTCAGAACAAAGCAAAACAAAACAATAATCCCTTCCTACGCCTTTTGGCTGCAGTTTGACAACAAGTGGCTTGCGCTTGCCGTCACTCTGCCTGACAGTGAAGCTGAGTTAGGTCACTCAGACGGTCCGAGTCTTCCCCTGACTTCACTAGTGTAAACACATTATGTCAGCTGCAAGCTCTGCTACTTCACTGTCCCTTGCTCCCAGATTCTCTCCAAGATAATCTGTGTCCTAGGTACTCAGGCACAGTTACACAAGACCTACAGATGGATAGTGTTTATTCAACTTGAAATGCCATCACAGCTGCTATCCTAAAGGTCACAGATATGTTAGATCACCTCTGGCCCTCTCCGTGTTTCCTCAGAGCAGGATTGTTCCCTGCTATCTATTCTTCAGTCTTTTACCCAGTTTCCCATGGTGGAACTTCCCTCATGTCTCTCTGGAAGGGTGGAGAGCAGGGAAATGCTCCAAGGTCTTGTAGGAGGAAGCTTTTCACAAAGAACCATGCTGTGATGAGAAAGACCTAATTGAATAAATCAGGGAAAGACCTAATAGAATAAATTGTTGTCTTAGTCTCTTGCTTGTGCATGCATTAGGTGGGGCTGTTAAAGCCACGCTGGGTGGATGGTGTGCTCAGGGCAGGCTGAGGGTTCAGCTGAGATTCAGGGATCATTTAGATTACACTGCTGTTGACCATTCATATTAAGAACTCTAGAAGTACAAAGCCTTCTTAATAAAAACACAATTTAAGGGATTTCTAAGATAATATCAAAGAGCCAGTACAGCAAATTTTTAAACGCAGCAGAACAGCTGTGGGAGAGGGTACCATTAACCACATAGTAAAACAGCGTGATGTTCAGATACACGCTAGGCATTTCCACACACGACCCAGCTGCTCATACACCCCTCAGGCCAACAGCGGCAGGTCCCTGACATCAGCAGAAGTTGGCCAAAAGGGCCTCTGGAGACGCTCTGCTTGTTTTTCCCCATCTGTTAACAGACTTCATGCTGATTGCGTTTACTTTTCTGTTCCTGCTGTAAACATTTTTATAATTGGCGTAGCTGGACCACGCAGAAGCTGCTCCCAGGCTGGAAGGGACTGGCCTGCAAGCACCTCCGCAGCATGAGAGGCAGGTATGTCAGTTCTTAAGCCTCCCTGGTCTGGGGCAATGTGGGAGAACACAAAGTACTTGTGGCTCTGCACAGGGGCGACCCTGACTCTGCCGCATATTGGCGAACCTGCCTCCATCCCATATCTATTCTCTTTTGCAAGGAAGTCCCCTAGCTTCATTTACTGCCTCCGTAAAGGCAAGCAACCACAAGCCCATATCAAATGAACATCTAGAAAACCCTGCTATCTAGAATTCATACATCCATCCCTACAGCTCTGAAGTTGGCCACAGAAATTCAGCATGACCTTCTCATAATCACTGATTCTGACATACTTGTAGGATGTCATACACATGTGAGTTTTGTTTTTTCCACCCTTTTTTTCCAAACTCACCCCCCATTTCTATCATCATCACATACATTTTCGCTCTTCCCTTATCTGGCTTCCTTTTTACCTCTGCTTGTCTAAAATTAATGTGTTCTGCTTTTCAGATCCAGCTCCTTGGAAAACAGAATAGATTAGTAAACTCCCTGCTGATATGAAATGCCTGATCAATCAGCATATGGGGTGATGTTGTATCCACAGAACAAGAACAGCACAGCTGGGCAACTCCGAGTGAACTCCGGAGAGGCCATCTATGGGCAAAAGGGAAGTGAAATGTCCTCGGCCCAGTTACTGCATGGCCTTGCCAATGGGACCAGCAATCCAAGGACCAGTTAGTGCCAGCTGCGTTGGCGGACACGGGACCAAAGCCAGCCAAGCGGTCCAAGGGCACTGACTTTCGGCCGCTCCTGAAATGCGCTGGATTAGACCCAGGAAACCCGGGCAAGACTCAGTCCCATGTTTTTCCATCTTAAGCCATCCCGTTGTCCAGATTAACAGCTCAATTTGCCATTTAGCACAAACATCTCACTTCCTTAAGTGAGGAACAGCTGTTCAGTTCCAAGTGCCTAGAAGGAGAAAAAATCTTCTAGAATTTTCTGTTAGCCTGTTGTATTCCTCTGTGGGGAAGAGGAAAGAGGGAGCTGATGGCAAGTTTGAGGCCTTTCCAGTTTTTGTAGCTGTGAAAGTCTAAGTAGACCACAGCTCTTGTGCAGCGCCTGGGGTGTGTGTGGTCCAAGTGCTTTCTCATATTACCACCACACCTCATGGAATCACAGGGTTGCTATCAAGTGTTTCCATGCAAACAGTGGAGGTGGATATCTCTCAAAGAGAGATATTCTCTTTTCCTGCCTGTGAAGAAAAAAAAAAAAAAAAGGAAAAAACATTCTCTGTTATCATCTCTGACCAACAGCTCACCAGCTGACCACCATCTCTTGTGACAGTCATTTCTTAACTGAGTCATCTATGTGCTGCAGCTCCAAATCATCGCTCATGCTGTTTGGCTTAAAATGCTGCAAGCTGGACAGAAGGTTTGTCCATTTTTGAAGATCCCCACAGTCAACGTGCCAGGTGCCTCTCCCAGATACTCGCACAGATGCATCTTACCGCAGGGAGAACGCAGGCAGGTACAGCCAACTCTGTGGGGCAGCTGTGGAGGGAAACGAACAAGGACGCAGAACTGCCTGAGAAAAAAAGAATGTCTGGCAAGTTCACGTGGTGCCGTCATGTTCCATGAAATTCACATTTTGTGCTAGGACAGCCAAGCCTGCGACTACGGATTTGCTTTAATCACTGGACAGCTCCCAAGAGGCTGGACCCAGATTCCCACCCCTGTAATCTGCAGCATTTGATGAAAACAACTCAGATTGAACTGATCTAGGGCTAATAGGCAAAACTTGCACTTTGGTTTTCCCTACTGCCAAAGGAATATGACATATTTACTGCCTACTCAGACTAATAACGTTTGAAGTGGATAAGGGGGGAAAAAAGGAAAAACAAGTTTAGCCCTCACCTCTAAAAGGGTTGGGTAAACTAGATAAACAAAACACTATGTGCAGCATATTCTTGTGAATGGACGGCAGTTGAAATGCATAGTTTCTGGAGCCACTTTGAAACCCAAGATCCTTGACTAGTTACCTGCCTTTCATTAATATGCCCCAAGAAAGAGCTATTCTGCCTATGTAACCAAACTAGTACTGGGTTGTACCAGACAAGTCTGTCAGTCACTATTTCATGTTACAAAGAATATGTTTTTTTCACCCCCCTTCTTACTCCTGGGAGTGTCTCCAGGCATTTTGTAACAGGATCGCAGGTTCTAATCCAGTCACATCCTGACAATGACCAACATCCAATGAATACGACATGGCCATGAAAAATCAACTGAGGTCTCTTTTCTGTGGATAGACATCCCCAGGCCATAAACAATGGCAATTTGTACCATGGGCTTCTTTATTCTGAACTTCAGTAGAGACTAAAGACTGAACAGGCAATGACAACTGCTGCCCTCCACCTCAGAGCTGAAGCAAGCGGGAATCATGACCTGCTAGTGCTCACAATGCCTGTTCAGTTGATTAATAACTTGGGAGACATTGGTCCCCCAGTTCTCTGACAGCTAAAGTAACTCATTATGCCACCACTTTAGACTGGGCTAGTTGTACATGACAAAAGGAAAGTCCTATGAGGTCATACTATCCAGCTCCCTCAGGGGCTAATTCAACATTTCCCTTTTCATGGTGCTCGATTCTGCCCAATTATAAGCATCCCAAGCAAAAAAAGCTCCCACTTTCCCTTCTATGCAGCTACCTGATCTCAGATTATCAAATTATAAATCCCAAAGGAACTACCATGATCCATTTATTCTAATCTCTTATCAAGCAGATTATGTTGTATGAATGAGGACACAACCTCAAGAAAAATAGCTGTTCTTAATTTAAAGACTTTTAAGCCAATTACAACCACTGGTAGCTATACTGTGTCACTGTTTAATTATTGACAGTTATGTGTCTGCACTTTACCACTTTACTATTGGAGTATTTGAAGATTCTGCTACTCATCACTGCTGCAGCAAAAAAAAAAAAAAAAAAAAAAAAAACAGCAGAGATGGCTTTTGTGCAGAAAATGGGAGAATTTTATTCACTTTGACATTTCCAAGCCTGAAAATGCATGACTGGTACAAAACATTCACACGCATAAGAGACTTATTCAAGTAGAGGAAGCAAGCTGCTCCAGAAATGAAGTTTCTCCTAATTCCCACTAGCCCCAGAGAGGAATGCTTCAAAATACTGAGGTAGGAACTTTTCACAATTCTGATTTATCAGGTCACAGTGCTCTCTAGCTTTTTGTCCATGTTGTCCTCTGTTCTGCAGCAAGAGTAGCAGGTATGTATGTCATCAAGATGTATAATACCTTCAAAACTGACATGACAACCAGGAAGGACACGTTCCTAGCTTCTTTGTCAAGAACAGAATTTATTAGGAAAAATTTCAACTCAGTAATGATTCTCAAGATTCCAGCTAAAGGATCTCTGTTATTATTTAGTTTTCTCTTGCTTCCCTAAAGAAATCAAGAATTAAAAACCAAATTGAACTGGACTTCGGAAGAAAACGCATAATCTTAGTTCCCTGCACAAACACCTAAGGCTCCCAATGTCACATTCTCTGTTGGAACCAACAGCCTACTTCTAACCCTGAAACTCAGGCTCTGCAACACAACAGAGTTGCCTAAAACCACTTCATTTGTTCTCAACAGCCTTGTTATTCCTATCTGTGGCAGATAGCAGTAAAATGTGAGTATTAAATTTCAAAAATGTAGTTCAATCTCACTGCTCATTACATGCCTGGGCATCAGTTTATAGTCTCTCTGGGCTTACCATATGACTCATGGAGCGTTTGCTGGAGATGTGTGGACAGCTAGCTAGTTTAATGATGCTGTTGACTCCTTGCGTTTAAAAGTCACATGAAACTAAATTAACCCTGGAAATATACTTCCCAGTGTGAATAATCTGTTTTGATCACAGCCAACTTCACCAATTAAGAAGGAGGAATCTCTTGAAAGAAGTCCCTGCATTCACACATAGGCAGTACAAAAATGGCTTTGTAGTACTTTCCCCTCCTTAATGGTATTTGCCATTTATTCTGATTTATTAACCCATGAAAATTCAGTGTATTTTTAGCTTTCCCAGTCTTGTGAAAACCAGACCAGAGAATATTAAATACTTTCTCCCATTCTCTTTTTCACTGTTCAATATCATATTCAGCCCTAGTTTGAATCATTGACAACATTCACATCCTAGATAACTTCAGTTCTGCAACACAGGTTCTGAAAGACACTGATTTGCTACTTTATTTACATCTCATATCTGTTGTTTCATCTGCCTGAAGCAATTCTGAATATTTTGCCTGGGACTAGTTTTGTACTTGCATTCTTCATAACTCATGAGTCATAAGTAATCCTATCCAGCAGGTGATTTGCGCTTACTCCTTCAATGTCGTTGTACTAAGAAACTGTCCACATTTAAGTTAGCAAGTAATAATCATCCAAATCATTCTCTTTCCTCTCTCAACTGTTCAGTATTTCACTTGCTATTTTCAAAGCATTTGGAAATTAATTCCTTACATTTTTGCAGGCTTTTACAAAATCCTACAAGTGAAGTAATATATTTGTTAGGTAATTTCCAAAAGGTTCTGAGGGCTACTTGCAGTGCAAGCTTGCGGGTCTGTAACTAATTCAACACAGTTATTTTTGTACCTGTTTCTTTTGCTTTGCAGTGGTCATTTTCAATACTGCCAGTACTGCCTAATTACTCAAACATAACTTTTCTCTTTTTTGTGTGTGTGTGTTAGGACTGCTTAGTCATACTGCAGCCAACCTAGCTTTTAGTCCTCATTTCTTCTCATTAGTGGACTTGCTTTCTCACAAGTTTTTCTTTTCCTCCAGATGTATTTGTATCTGTATCCCCCCTAATCCCATTGGCATTAACTTATTCTGCATTTTTTTTGCCTTATCTTAGTAACAGCATGTTCCTGTCTGGTTTGCTTCCTTTCCACTTCTAGCACTGTGTTTTCAGCCTGCAAGGCGGGCACTTCGTCCTTTTTCAAACTTTGTGTTTGAATGACCTCTTGTAAAGCTACATTCTACATCTTCTATCTCATTCTCCTTATTCAAAAGTGCTCTCGACTGCTGTGCTTTTGTTTAAATGTATTAAGGGATTTCCCTGACATCTTCCACATTTAGTTTTAACGACCATCTTACTAGTTAATAAACTTCTCATTAGTAATTCCTGCAAAATACTTCAGTCAAATTAAATCTGTTTTTCCTTTGCTGAGAGGGATGCCAACATGTATGGTCTCCTTCACATCCATCAAAAGCTTTGAAAGGGATGTAAAACAGTTACTGCCTTAGTGGACAATGACCCAATGAGCATCGGCAGTGCTTTAAGACATACAATGGATCTAGCCAGGTCTTTTGGCCTCTTTGAAGTCAGAAGAAACTTCCTTCAGTTGACTAAATGCTGTTTTCCAACTGGAAACTGCTAGGGAGATATACAGTCTCCTTAGTTCAGATGGCCAGCTAAAAGGCACATGGACATAACTGCAATTGATATGGGCTCCTCCTCCTTTCTCAGGAAAAATTCTGAAAAAGACTATGGGGAGAAAACTGTAATTTCCAGGATGAACCAAAGAAGTCTGGATGCCTACTATCAAACTGAGCAGTTACTATGTAGAAAGCTCTTATTGCACCCAAGAGAAAAGGAGAGGGGATTAACTCTTTTTTACTACACACAACAAAACAAGAGAGGGGCAGGTTGCACTGTATGAAGATCTGACAGCATTTAGCTAGTTATGGGGATGGGGAAACTCTTTGCCATCACACTTACCACATAATTGTACTTATGCTTCAGGTTCCAGCGACAGATGGGACACTGGCCCGAGGGGTTAGGAGGAGTTGGCACCTCAGGATCCTCTATAATTCTCCCTTCAATCTAAGAAACAATTCAGAGGATAAAATGATCAAGCAAAGATTCCATAGCGTAGACCTCTGTATGCACCTGTGACTCGAGGAACATCTTTCATTGAGTTCACAATATACAGATCAGTATTTCACAGATGTTAAGGAGGCGGTGTCTGCATTTATAGAGCTCACTCAGATTCACACAGATCAAGCTCTTTGGACATACACAGACTATGGGTAAAAAAAAAAATAAATCCAAAGGGTACAGAAGATCCATTCGGTAAGTTCCTATAGACGTTTCTTTAAATGTAACTACTTCAAAATCAATACAAAGCACTTGCAACATTTGCCTGAATTCCATTTGTCGCAGTAATCGTTCAGATAATTCATTTTAAAATCGTAGTAACTCTTGAGCAAAAAGCCTTAAAAGTGTGCTGAGAATATGAGAATGTCAGAGCAGTGGGTGGACGCTGTAGGCCAAAATACACAGAGCATTTCTAGATTATAAAACACTAATAGGGAAAAATCTGAGCAGAAATCAAATTGAAGGAAAGTCTGTTAAAAAGGTGTTTGAGGGATTTAATTTCATCTTAATACACCAGTGGTTTGTCCAGTTTAATTCTCTAAAAAAAAATCCTTTGCTTTTAGGAGAATATTTTACAATCATTTCCATATCACTACACATTGGTGACATTTAAAACTCAGTTTTCTTAAAAGTAACAAGCAAAGAAATCTCAAAGTCATGTGTGGGAAGAACTTGAGAAATTTGTTTTCTAAATGTGGAAGCATTATGAATATCAAGTCTATATATGTGCGGGCATGTCTTTTTTTTCCTCTTTTTCTCTGAGAACTTATGAATAGAAGCAAGGGCTCTTTCAGCTTACAGCTTAATAGAGAGAAAATACAATCAAACTCAGCCAGATTTTCTCCAGAACATTTGAGCAGTTTCAAACAGTCACATTAAAAATAAGAAATGGCTTTTGGACACTAACTGTCAGCCTCACATAGTACAAGAAAACTCCTGAGATGCAGGAAAAGAGAGGCATAGAACATAACGTGGAAATGCTATGCCAAAGTCATTCCGTTATGCCAGGGTTTTACATGCAGCGGAGAGCTTTAAAATTCTAGCGCAGAGCAAGCTAAATCTGGATTAATAGATTTGTTTTGAGCAGCAAAGAACTTAAAACAAATCCTGGATATCTAATAGAAGCCTCCCAAACTTCCACAGCATGCCATGTTACTCTTTAAGAAAAACTGATTTAGATCCAACTGTTGCATTGTGCATCTGAAAAGCTGGGAAGGGAGAAGATTTTCCCTAAGTGTGTATGGGACACTGGTATCCAGCTGAGCTGTCAAAACCACTTTATACCATGGAGGTGTCTTCCTTAGCTAGTGCTGGCAAGATGGAATGCTATTTATAGTTGAAGCATTCTCAAAATCACAGAATCACAGAATGCTTAAGGTTGGAAGGGACCTCTAGAGGTCATCTAGTCCAACCCCCCCTGCTCCAGCAGGGACACCTAGAGCACGTGGCACAGGGTGGCATCCAAGCGGGTTTTGAAGATCTCCAGAGAAGGAGACTCCCCAACCTCTCTGGGCAGCCTGTTCCAGGGCTCTGTCACCCTCACTGTTAAGAATTTTTTCCTTAAGTGTCAAAAAAGGGAAAAACATACAGGTTTAAGTAAGCCTTCTCCTCGCCCACCTCCCACCAGACAGTTTTACAGAAGGAAAAAAAAAAAAAAAACTATGGAATATCAAAATATAGATTAGCCTCTATTTTTTTATTCATAGGTGAAGTTATTTTCTGGGAAGCAGTGCAGGGATTCCCTCAGGGTCTTGATCATGGCCAGTCTGGCTTCAGATTGTACTTTGAGAGCATTGCGCTTTGGGAATAAATAAAGGTTCAATACAGGTCAATATCAGCTGTTCCTGAGCTAGATTTCAGAGTACAGTTTTGGGGGTAACTATTTCCCCACCTACTGAGGACTCTCATATTTTAAGTCATTCGGTTTTTATTCTTCTGTTAAAGAACTATGAGGGAAACTGCAGGAAAATAAGGGCTCTATATCCCCTGTATGCTGATGGAATCCAGATTTCCCTCCAATTCATTCATCTGGTTCATCTCAAACACTTCCTTTAATGCTGATAAAAGCAAGAGCACATAGGATGATGAAGATACCGAAAAATCTGATGTAGTGTTGGTAGAATAAGTGAAGTGACCGGAAGATATGCTAAGAAACATATCAGCCCTCTAGTCCATCAATTCACACCATCTGTTCAAAATTTTCTCATCTTAGGACACTGATGCATCCTAGATTGATGTTAGGATATTTATTATACAGTGGAAATATCCAGATCTCCTCTCTGCTTATACAACAGACCGAGAAGTTGAGAATTATCTTTCTAAAGGGTTCAGCTACTGCAATGCACACCTTTGTTCATGCCTAAATTAATGCACTAGATCTGTGAATTATAATTTATTTCCCTTTTGAAACATGAATTGAATGGAAAATACAGCAAACCACTATCCCCATCCCTCTTTGCTTCTTGCCCCTTTTATTCTTTTATAAGGAAACGCTTCTAGCAAAAAAGGTGTACTTTGCTGGCTTTGGCCAAAAGAGTTTTATACTGTAAGTTCTTCTCTAGGTATCTGGAAAAAGATTAGTACTTATACACTTGCAAGGGAGAAAAGACTTTCTACCATATCTACTCTTACTTCTTAAACTTAATTTTCTTGATTACCTAGATGTCTTGCTAGTTTCACAGTTTTATAACTGATATACCCCAAAATATAAGTAACCTGGTCTACACAGGTTTCAAACAAGACAATGTTCACTAATCTAAACACGGACAAGAGGAGATTCAGACTTTCAAGGGCATGCATGGTCAGGGGCTATGTTTCATTAACAAGCAAAAACCTACCCCCCTCTTTATTATATACTTACAAATTACAATTAAATGCAGTGTTTTCTAACATTTTAAAACACTTATTTCTCCACTTACCCTTTTGGTGCTTACACACTTCAAAATACCTGCATTACTTGTTTCTAACAAAAGTATAGATAGCTCAACATTAGCATATGTAATGTGAACTGAATAATTTGATCATCTTATTCCCCCCATAACTTTTATGCCTCTTCCAAAGACTACAAATCTTTTGATAAAGTGCTACAGATCAGACAGTGTTAATGAGGCAAAATTCAAATTCTACTGCTTTACTTGTTGTATTTCCTGTAACTGAAAAGACAGTAGTTGCAGCTAAAGAGATGCTCTTCGTTATCCACTACTTCAGAAACTTAGTTGCATTTTCAGAAGCATTTCTCTTATAGCATTTAGGGCTTTGCTTTGCTGATACCCTTTCAGAGAAGAAGCACACCACCCAATAGGGTATTTAATGCAGACTTTGTATTATCTACAGTCACGATGGCACAGACAGAATTCCACTTGATTAGGGAGTATAACACACATCCCCAAAAAACAAGCATGTGAGTGTGCGGGAGACACAGAACAACCCCCATGGTGTTGCCACCGAGGTGGAGCTGGCAGGGAGCCCTGCTTTGCACCTGCCTGCTGAGCTAAAGGAGCAGCAACTGCCCTTGTCTCAGCCTGCACCTACACAAGGTGGGTGCACGGGACGAGCCGCCAGGTGGGTGTCCACTTCCGAACACTTCCCATCAGGGCTACCAGGATTACCAACCGCAAGACAAGGCGGCAGGGTGTGCACATGGTGCTCACGGGAGGTTCTGCTCATCTCGTCACCTGGAAGAGAAGCAGATCATCCGTGCATTTTGCAGCCTGGCCATCCACCCGGCCACCTGCAGGCACAATGCAGGTTTACATTGGTTTGGTTCTCATATCCTAGGATTCCTTCCCATTCGTCCTCTCCCTCTGGGGACTCCAGGAGCGAAACAGGAGGCGTCTACCTTTTTGAGTGAGGAGAAAGCAACAGTAGCTCTTGGAGAAAGGCAGACTTACTGTGGTCGTGTTGCCCTCGGTCACTTCCACAACTGCAATTAAAAAAAAAAAAAAAACGAAAATAAGATTCACTCCGGGAAAAGCGATCTTGCCTTGGAGAACGAGGGAAACAAATCTATAGAGGGAGGCCCCACTGCCTCCCCTAACGACCTCTCCGGCCCGCAAGGAGACGCGGCGGGGCAGCACGAGGGGGGCAGCCCCGGCCCTGCTCGGC